TTTATAGCAGGAAATGCTAGAAAATTTTCGAAGTAAGATTTTCCAATCCGATGCACACACTAATTGACATCACTATGCGTATTATAAATTACGTTGATATTTTGTAAATTATATAATGTTTATTTTAAATTTTTTTTCAATAAAATTATATTTGATATAATTAAATTATATCTTTTTGATGATTAACTTTTTTTTTTCCTTAGTGGAAATTTCTTTTGACGTGCACAATTCCTACATTTTAAAATTTAAATTTCAAAATTTCTTATATTTTTTTTAAAATTAATTTTTATTTTATAATTTTAAAATTCATATTTTTTGAGATTATTTTTATGAATCAACAAATTTAGTTTTATTGACATGAATATTAATATTTGATTTATCATTAATTCCTTTGATGATTGACTATATTTAAGATTCTTGCAAATTTCTTGTTGGATTATTTTTAGATTTTGCGAAATGCTTAGAATTGAGAAGTAGATTCAGAAATAACTATCGTTTAAAAAAAATTAACAGAAAATACATTCTATAATGATGAATGAAAAATAATTTTTATTGATTTGAATTAATCATTAATTTTTTTTTTATTTTTTATGTAATATAATGACACGTGCTCAGTTTGACGAATAAAAAAGTTTTCCACGAGTTATTTTTCAATTTTCAATGAGTTTCGTTTCATTTACTTATCATATACAATTATATTAATAATCAAACATTAGATCAAAGTCTCTATCCGAGTAATATTAATAATTAAATCAATTATAATTGCACACTGATGATACTGTAATTTACTGTAATTTAATCGTTTTTTTGATTTTATTATATTGCTTTTGAAAAAATTTACACAATTATATTTTATTTTTATATAAAAGTCGAAGAATTAAAATAAAATATAAATTTGCTCAATATATTTACAATATAAAACTTTATTTTGAATAAATTTTCAAAAATTATTAAAAATTATAAATAATGAAAATTCGTGGAATAAGTTAATATATTAGTTTATATTGATTTCATTTAATTGCTATCATATCTTATAAAGTTTCATTTATTTTACTAATTTTTATAATTTTGTTCAAATATCTAATAAGTATATATAATCGTAATGTAGAGTATTTTATCTTATTTCTTGTTTACATAATATAGCAATAAAAATTTAATATGTAAACATTAAATGCAATATTTTTGCAATAATATTTGTTAATCTTAATATAAACGAGATTTTTTATTGAAAAAATACTCGAGATTTAAAAAATAAATTTTTTATAATCTGTTAACTTCATTATATAATTATATAAATCTATATATATTGCATATACGTATATTTGATACAAGATAATAATTTACTTTTATATCAAAAGAAATATTATTCTTGAATTTTTTTTTGCATATATTTTATTTATAATTATATTTTTGGAATTGAATTATATTGATATATTGAAATATATTTCTCATATTACGTATAGCATACATATCTCTTAGAAGTATTCAATAATATTTGTTAATTTATGCATGCATATATACAAATATTTTTTAAAATAAATCTTTTTTTCTCAAACACATTTTTATAACTATTTTTACCAAACGTTTTATAGATAATTTTGACAATTTATTTATAAAACAGTATTATCTTGATCTACAAGTAAATTTCAACGCTGCGAAGAATCATTGAATTATATTTTATTAGGTTAGTTGTAAGATTAAATATTTCGTAGAAGATGAATATTTTTTTAAGTTATTTTGATCTGACACGAATGGAAGAAGAAAGATTCGTAATATCTTTTGCGCGATGATAAAAGTAGGACAAACGTCGATGAACCGTATCGTTACAAATTGCTTTTGTTGTACAATAGAAACATTTATACGAACTAACTTTTCGCAATTTAAATATATCTGTTGCACAATAAAAATTTCCGATGAGTATTGTAATCGAATTCGTGAAATGATCATTATCTGAGCTCTCTTATCAATTGATTATCTAGAAATGGCGACAGTCATTGAAACAGATGTTTTGTAAAAATTTTCTATATATTAGATGAATTACCTTTTTTATCGAATAATGCAAAAATTATGTGTAATTGCGATAAAATTAATAAAATTACGCAATTCACTTTTAATTATTTTTTTCTATTAAATGTACAACAGATGAAAAAATATATATAAACAGATATATGTTTCTAAGAATTAAAAATTTTAAATTCCTTTCATTATGGTATTTGAATAATAATTATTCATTATTTCTAATAAATTATTCTCTCTATTTATTATTATTATTCGGATAACAGTTTTTAATAATTTATAATTCGACAAATTTATTAATTTTAATTTTAAGAAATATGATTTATTTATCGATAACCTGTTATTACTATTTCGAAGAAGAACGTTTTCATACGACGTCATCACGTTTTGGAGAAATTTCGTGAAGGCCATATCTTGGTCATCGACCGTGAAAAGCAGAAATCCCCATTAAGAGTTTTGATCCCAAGAAGGAGATATTCATTGTTAAAAAAGCAAACAAAAGAAATCTCATTTTTCATGGAAAATACAAAGACAATGTATACAGAGGCAAAAATGTATTTTTTATGTAAATGAAATATCTATAAGACGAATGGACCAACTGTATTTACATTTTGCAACATAGTGTCCATTATTGATGTGATTATTGATAATGATAAATAATAAAGAACGGATAATAAAGAATTAATGAAGAATAATATCATGTAATATTTTTTAAGATATGTATTTTCAAATTTCTAGACAGACATTCAATATAATAAATTTAACGTTAATATTAATGTTCTTATCTTTTATTAATATTAATTTTTAGTCTATAATTTATTGTAATTTATTATAATTTATTTATAAATGGAATTAAAGTAAGATTCCATACTCAGAAATGACGCAAAAATCAGGAATAATGAAATTTCGTGGAAAGTTTTGATTTTTAAAAAAATTTATTTGTAAATCGATCGAATATACATACATCGTATATATTTAATTAATTTTAATGATTGACTTTTATTAATTTTTTTCTATGATGATTATATTTTTGCATGTGTACAGATCAAGATAGAGAAAATTAGGATTTGATTATTACAAAAAAATCCTTTTTTTTCTTTTATTAAAAAAAAAAAAAAATAGAACGAAGAAATGAGTTGTATATTTTAATTTTTATTTATGCTACTGCTATTGGTTACTAATTACATATTTTTTTTTTACAATTAATTATGCGCTTGTCGCAAAATCGCAAGATAATATGGTTTTCCGTTTTGCTAAATGGAGTTCATGTAATTACGATCGCAAGCACACGATGATTACCGTTTGATTACAAAAAGAAAACGAATAATTATTTGCTTATGTAAATTCGCAAAAAGTGGAAATGACGTATGGAACGACGATGAAAACAATTTTAAAGTCAGTTTCTTTTCTGCATTTTTTTTTTTTTATTACGAATATGACGTTATTCAACTTTTGCATTTTCATTCGATAGAAATGAGTTACAAATAATATCCGATAATTAAACATTTTAAAAAATGTCAAATATTATTAACCAAATATAGAGGAGAGAGAAAAATTGCTCATCGATAATGTAAATAACGAATAAGAAACATGTATTATCCGAATGATAGTTTAAATCAAAACACTGCAAATATCTTAATTCGAAATAAATTGAATGAAAACACATTAATTTGTCAGTAAGAAATAAATTACTATTATTTCTTACTTATATTCGAATAAAATTTAAATTATCACTACGCATATACCCGTTATTAACATAAATAATAAGTAACAAATAAGTATTCAAGTATGATAGTATAAATTAAATTACATTTATACATATATATATATACCTTAATTTAAGATAAATTATTTGATGAATGAAAATATAATCAATCAAAAATAAATAATATTATCTTTTCTATTTATTTTATTATTTATTTCTACATATTTTAATTTTCCAATAATTGGATAGAAATATGGATACAGTCATGAATGAGATACAAATTATGTGAAATGAGATTAACACTTCGAATGATAATCCCCTCTTTATCAATAATATAAGAACTTATTTATATAGAACAGTATGACACTTATCAGTGCGGTGTTTCAATTCATTTTCATCGCTAATGATCATCTTATCTTAAAAAGAACAAAGGTTTTAATAAAAAAAAAAAATAATAATAAAATAAAAATTAATCCTATTTTCCTATTTCACTTAAAAAACATTCATTATTGACATACTCTCCAATTATCGCAGAATGTATAGTACTATAGATATAACACTACCGATCAATTTGTTTGCAATCAATTTATTAAAGTATAATTATATCAAATTTTTTGCTTCGATTTTTTTAATTTTTTTAATTTGTGATTTATGATATAAATATTGATAGGAATTTTAATAGATTTTGTTCGAATAAACAAATTTATCAACGATTTTACTATGTATCACGATTCACTGAATTCCTTTGATCATCTCTGAAGTCAATCTACGTCACATCGATTAATATACTCGGATGACCGCTTTGGAAACACCAGTCTTTGATGGTGGTTTGGAATTAGGATGACCAACATTCATTCATGAATTGAGAAAGAAAATTTAATGGCCAAAAATTTTATATTTTTTTAATGGCTTCATTCTCATAAAACATTCATAAATAATATGTACAAAATTTCAATGAAAATTAAAATTTTTTGCAATTAAAAAGATAAATTTATTTATAAAACAATTTTTCTGAATAATTGTATTTATTCCCTAGTATTATTATTGATAATGAGAACAATAAAATAAAAAAACTAGCAAAATTCTGATATATTTCTTTGTTAAGTTCTTCGATTCGTTTGATGGATTCAAAACCTTTGATCGGTAATGTATGTACAACAGAGATATAGCCATAGTGTACACAACATATCGGCTATTATACATATTGATATAAAGTCTGTCTGCATGAGAAAACACAAAATTTTCCATTGAAAATTTTCAACCTGAAGAGTTGAAATTCTTCCTTGAGAACACGTGTTGGTAATTATCACAGGTGAAAACTTTGCTATCGGTACGTTTTTACGTTACGTTATCTGGCCATGATCCCATCTTGGCGCCCTGTCAATCGGAAACGTCTCGAATTCACATTCGTAAAAATATACGGGGCCTTCTCGTTCGGGCATAATAATCTTTCGAATACCTGTGGCAGTCCTCGTTCCGTTTTATTCCCGACTGGTTCCAGCATGTTGTTCCATAATAAATTCGCCCCTGAAGTTGAATTAAACAGAAATGACATTTTTTTATATCATTAATTTATATTATTAATCAAAGTTTATAATATTGATGAATATGACCGCGCGGATTCTTGTTTTGTATTTTTTTTTATCAAGTTTAAAATTATTGTTTTATTATAAATTCGCCCCTGAACTAGAATAAAAAACGAATGACATTTCTCTGGCATTTGTTATCAAGAAAAATCGAAGTTTATAATTTACGATTGCAGATTTCTATTTTGTATTTTTATCGTTCAACAGGTTTCAGCGTATTGTTTCATAATAATTTTGCCCTTGAAATCGAATAAAAAACGAATATTTCATTGCGCGTTATCAAGAAAAATCGAAGTTTATGATTGACGATTGCGGATTTCCATTAGAAGTAAAGTGCAATTAAATTCCGAGTTAAATTTTCGATAAAATATCGTATTTTAAATGTTATTATTAGGTGAAAAAATATATATATCTCAATATCTTAGAGATTCAAATTATATATATAAAAAAAAAAATATATTTTTATAAATTAAAAAAAAATATGGACACGCATGGTAAAAATTATATATATAAAAATGACATTACAATAGTATTATAATAATTATTTATATTGCAAAATTATTTATTTATTAGAAATTATTAGAAATTTATTAGAAATTATATTTTAATAGCAAATTCAAGTACTTCATGCATGAAAGACGCAAAATCATATTTATCTGATTACGTTTTCTTTGTTATATATGTAGTTACATCTATACATGTATACTTACATGTAGATAATAAAATTTATTTTACATAATTTATAATTTATAATTTCTGATGCAAATACATGATTGCATGTTTTTAATAATTGCAGAATAGGCTAGATCTTATTGAATAGTAATGAACTTTTAAAAATATCCATATTACACTTTATAAAATTGAAATAATTTTTTTGATTCAGAAAGTTTTTTCGAATTTACTATTGCTAATTATTATTTTCTTTTTTATATTATAAATTGATAAGTTTTGATTATTCGTCTTGCTAACTCTTATAATATTGTATATAATTTTTTTTTCATTAATATTGATTGGTTTTTTATTTCATATTATCTTATCTTATAGAATTTAATGGCAATTTTTTTAATTATTGATTTAAATTTAATTGATCGGTAATTAAATCAAATAATATTTAATTCATATAATATTTCATATTCAATATGTAAAAAAAATTAAATTTTTTATAAAATCAACAGATGTATTAAATAATTTCTCTGTTTTTATTATAAATATATAAAAAGTTAATATATATTTTTTTAATAAAAAAATTTTATTTCCATTTCCATTTTTTTCCCTTTGTCAATACGAAACAATTCAGAATGCAATATCAAAAATATATTTTCAAAATTTAGTTTTTTTCAAAAATTTATATTATTTCCAATATTTTTTTTTTTATTTATTATGGAATTTTTTTTTTATTCTAATATCAGAATAAAAAAAAATTTGAACAGAATATTTTAAAAATTTATCATAAGCCATATTAGATTATATTTAAGTTAATTTGTGTATTGCAATTTCCATTAATTATCTACGTTGCAAAAACACGATTATTCGTTCAATGTTATTACGTAGCAGACATCGAACGGACATAAGATATATTGTCTCATTGTCAGACCACCCCATATGCGTGTGCGTGTATGTGTGCGACTTCTGATTAACTTCTCTTACAAAAAGTTTAACTACTTGACTTTGCTATACCCGTCGTTAACTGATTTGTTCTTTCGTTTAGGACGAATGACGTAGAAGAGTCATAATGGCAATATAGACTTTTAAAATATCAATTATTCGGTATTTTTCGAAGAATAAACAAGACAGAATGTTTAAATGTTAAAGTTGTATATAACTTCATAAGATTTTATTATTGATGTATTTCATTCAATAAGTTTATAAATTATTTATTTAATAATTGAAAATTTTTTTTATAAAATATCTAAGTATAATTTTAAGTATAATCTTTTCTTATCAATTGATAGATTTCATTAGTAGAATCTAAAAATACTATTAATTGTAGTTTTTGTACTTTAGAAATTCATGGTATCAAAAGTTATGCCACATGTGATATATATTCGATTTAAAATAGAATGAGATAGCAGCATTGAGACGATAAGAATTGAGTATAGCGATGGTAATGTCGTATGCGATATTATCGATTTAAATTGGAATAAAATAACAGGATTATCGGGTAACAGGAATTCTAATAAAATACATCGATCAAGTCAAATGTATCATTATCGATAGAGATTAGAATGAGATAGTACTATTGAGGTAAAAAAAATCATAATACTATAAATCAAATAGCTATAATCAATTGTATTTTTAATATAAGATTAATTATAATTTTCATTAATGTATAAACTGAAGATTTGATTATAGGACTTATTTTTGAATTGGAATTGAAAAAAATAACTAAATCTAATATAAAATAATATATAATTAATTATTTTTTAGAGCTCTCATCATATATTTGCGTATATATTCAGATTTTAAAAAATATATAATATAATATAATTATTATATTATAATAAACATATTAATTATTTTGAATATTGGATATTCAAATAATTAAAGATTTATCAGTATACTTGTATTTAAATACTCAAATCTAATTAAATGAATACTTGAGTATTCAATACTTTATATAACTTATGTATTCTTGAATAGAAAAAAAGAAAATATATGCAAGCAATACAAGAATATGCAAAAATATATATATATATATTTTATTCCATAGTTCCATAATTAATAAAGTTAATTTATATATTATAATATAATAAACTAAAATCTATAATTTTATTATTTATTATTCAAGTTCTTACCTAATGCATGTCCCTTTTGACTAAAATGAAAACAGTCATACGTTATCAAAGTGGGATCAATTGATTGAGCTCTCCTTGGATCTGCATTTGGTGCATTGAATAATTTACTAAATGGTTGCAATACCACTGTGAAATCCGAAGATTTGTCATATCTGAAATAAAGATAAAATTCTACCAAATAAAATGATATATTATGCACAATTTTGTGTTATATTTTTTTTTACTTTAATATTTATTTCTTGTAATCTATCTTATCAATTTAATTATACTTAATTATTATCATGCAAAAACATACCTTCCTGAATATATTAAAGCTTCGATGGCTTGTTGATAAAGATGCGACATTTTTGAAGCTTCGATGTCTGGTCGACTACCTTTGTGCAGGCAAGCACAGTAAAATGTGTGCAATATGCGACATATGGGACTCCGTGGTATTCTAACGGAAACCGTAACATCTGCATACAAATTGGAACAATTTAATTACTGAGTGTTCAAAACGATATTCATAAGATACACGAATAACATATAAATGTCTTTTTCAAGCATTTCAATTCTAAATATTACCTATAGCCGGTACAACATTGACCAATGTACGAGGTAAAACAAATTTCAAGTAATCCAACGTTCTTCTTAAATGATGAGCATATCGAAGAGGAGAAAAGTGTTCAGGATTGAAGCATTGTGCCGAGCAAATATCATTTGCGCCAAAAAAAATTGTAATTAGCTGTAATTCGTAGATACATTCCAATGATTCATCTTGCATTTCTAATTTTATTGTGAAATACATATCTCACAATAATAGTGATAAGTACCTTCCATTGCTTCATTACATTTATCTTTGGATTGCTTTTGATCCTTTGAACGAGAATTCGAGCTTGTTGAAATGCATCTTCCGTGGCCGCGACTGGGAAGGCGATATTTAGTTTCGCATTCGTTGAAATAAATTCACCTGTACCCGTTGAATATCCGATTAAATTGGGATTGAACACCTGATGTAATAGAATAATAATACTCAATTCTATAGTTGAATTTAATAATAATAATAATAAATAGAATTACAAATAGAATTCATAAGATGAAGAAATTTATATAATATAAAATTCTGAAATAATTTTTTCTAAGATTAATAATTAAATTGGAGAAAGAAAAAAAAAAGAAAAAAGAAAAATATACCTTTAATAAATTAGGAAGAGTTAAAAACTGTCTCCAGTCTCCTTGACCACCTATACACCAGCTAACACCACGTGCTTCTATAAATGTTCCTATTGCGTAGTCCTCGAGAGCTCCACTTCCTGCGATCAATGAATCGCCTAGACTACCGATCACGTCTATGTCGCCAGGTCTTAAACGATGCACATTGTCAGGCGTTGTTGGTGATCTGAAAGAACAGGAATTACGGATTTTACATTTTTGCAAAAGAATTTTAAAAATATATTATATTTTTATTACTTGAAAATGGAGATGATTGAATTATTTTGTATCGATTTGAAAAATTTAAACTTCTTTTTTATATATAATCTTTTGTATTTTAAAATTCGTAAATTAAATTAAAATTATACTTTAAAATTATACCTTCCAAATTTTACATTACACGGAAATGGAACGTATTCAGGGATATGAGGTTGATTTCTTGTGCCACTATATAATACAGGATACGTAATTCCTTTTTTGTCAACATCAATCTAAAAAAAAATTATCATTTTTATAATAATTTGTTTTTAATACGTTCGTAATATAAATTTAAATAATATTTGAATATATTATAATTATTTTACAGAGAGTTCTTTTATTTGAATTTTATTTTATTTAATATTAAAAATTTGATAAAATATTACTTATTAGTTATTTGTTAATATTAAACAAAAATTTAAATACTGTACAATTAACTTTTGTTTAATCAGCAATTTTCTTAGAGAGGCTTCTTTCTTTTCTTTTTTTAACAAAAAAGATATATATATATTAGTTCTCTAGCTTTCATTTTTTGTTAGCACAAGTAATATATGTACATTGTACATATATTAAGTAGTCAATATACGATTTCACACCACTTGTTTCATTTAAAATATTAGCTTTTCATTTTTCAAAATTAATCTTTTCGCCTTAATTTTAATCTTCAACAAAATCTACAAGTATCAATCTCATGATTTAAAAATTGGTGATCAAAAACGTTCCTTACGATCACAAAAGCCGTATTTCCGTATTTGGTACAAGCACAATGTTGAATTTTATTCCTCATCGTCATTCTCTTTCGATATCCGCTGTACAAACACAATGCTATTTAATTTCATTAAAATTTTATTCTTCGTCGTCATTCTCTTTTTATATCACGTCTTGTATACTGTTCAACTTTGTTAAAACTTTTACTCTTCACTGTTCGATGTCCACACAGTATCATATTCAAGCACGATACCGTTTCATTCTTCATCGTCTTCATCTTCTTCCGGTATCCGCGGTACCACGTCCGGTACAATCACGATACCAGGTTCAGAGGTTCGCCAGAATACGAATCCTTGGCCGTCGTCCTTTATCGTTAACCAGCAGGCGCCGATTTAACACACGATGCACGTCGCCACGTTTGCTTTCTTTCATTTGCATTCAGTCGTCTCGCGTGGCTTAAATACCACCGCAAATAACTTAACCATGCCCGTGCACTGAAGTGGGCCGACTGAACGGGATCGACTAGTCTCGCGGATCTCAACGAAAAGAAAAGTGCAGGCCTTTCTCCGATTCCTCTCGGCATGCAAACCACTTTTTTCACTTCATTATCCGTCCAGTTTTCCGGTTTCACGTAAAATGCAAATGGTAATTTCGCGTTAACGTAATGCTGTGTAGCACGATCGAAAGAGAAATGGAAATAAAGTAGTGTAAACGAATGTCTTGATTAGCAAGCATGACAGATATATTTTCTGGAATAATTTAACATGATGCAATATATTTTCCTCGATTAAAATTCGTTTTTATTATTAACGAGATTACTTGATAATTTTCGATTAGAATTCTTAAGCAATATTAAAAATATTGATATTTTTTAAAATCATTTTGATAATATTTATCGAAAATACAAGGAAAATTTAATTCGTATATTGTTTATATTTAAATTTAAATCTTTTGAGACACATCCTTTGTGATCCTCACAACATCTTATCTCTCAATGAGAACTGTAGTTTATTATTATCAAATTTATTATTATTAATTATTTATTATTATAAATCATTTGTTAATATACGTATGTTTATTAGTAAGTATTTATTAGTAATAAAATTAGTAAAATAGACATATATACTATATCCTGAAAGATTAACGAAACGAGAATAATTAAATAAGGCTCTTACCCAAAAGACTCACCCTTCCTGATTGAAATATGCTTCGTACCAAATCCTTGAATGAACTTGTGACCGCAGGCAACAAGATCAAGATTAATGACAGTCGTATTGTTTCGATTCTCATCGTTAGGACGAGTTGAATGAAAATTTTCTTAAAAATATCGTTGAACTTCTCCTGAAGCTTTCTTCCAAGATTTATCGTGGCTCAAGATTTATTTCAACAAGCGAAACTTTCTCTTCTTTCCTCGTTTTATCGATACGATTTTTTTCGTATTGCCGAAAACCTTGAACTTTCCTCAACCATGTCCTGGCATGACCGTCAAAAAAGGATTGTAAATTTTATTACATATTTGCTATAATATTACATATTATTTCTTTATTTTATTACATATTTGCACGCCACGCGTTCGTTCAATATAATTGATATTTTTATCTCTCAACGATCTCTTGAGTAATGTTTGTGCAGTAGATTGTAAATGAATGTAATAAGGTGAGCACTTGTTCTTTGTCTAGAAAAATTATTAAAATTTTTTTTTTTAACAAAAATATAGAAATCAGAAATTATGATTTTTCTTTGTGTTTATTTATCTTTATCTTACTTAATTATATTATTAGTAGTATCTGTTTCTATTTAATTGTACTATTGATCGATGAATAATATTTTGTCATAGATTTTTTTTCTTTAAGTTCTTTTTTTTTTTTGATTTGTTATTAAAATTCTTGAAGTAATGTATATTATACGTGTTTTATATTATTTTTCATTAATTTATGCTTGTCGTTAATTTTTTTATCACTACTAGAAATCGTTATCGTAATAACCGGAATTTTGTATCAATCTTGCATAAATTAGAAATATAATTGATATTATATAAGTCCTAAATAAAACATTTTAATTTACGTATAATATATATATATATATTCAGCTTAAGTAATTCATACGAAACATTATCGATGAAGAGGAATTGCAAAATTTATTTTATAGCATAACGGAACTTTTCATTTGTAGATTATACATTAAAAAAAGAAATTGTAGAATCTAAAAGAAATAATTTTTTTTTACTACTAATTAAATAATATTAATAATTAAATAATTATTTTTTTAATGGAATAAAATCAAAATTTATTTTATATCTTTCTTCAATATTTCAATTTATGTAGCTTCAAATTTTATAAATCAATTTTATAAATCATAAAGAAAAAAAGATTGACAAAATTTGCATATTTATAATATAGATATGAAGAGAGAAATTAAATAAAAATGCAAATATTGTTTATATTGTTCCAGATTTTTATTTTATTTTATTTTTAATTTTAAATTTTGACATTTCACACGATTTATTTGAGAATTATTAAAATATCCGACCCGAATTCTTTTTTCTACTTTCCATGGTATAAATTTTTTCTTTTGATGGTAATTCCGTGCGATACAAAAGTTCACGCCAATTGCAAAACATACACGAGAAAAGTTTCTAAATAATAACATCGATTTATAAAAATAGCTTTTTAAAGCTGGGAGAAGAGATTAATTTGAATAATTATAAATTGTATACGTTAAATTTAAATACCATTTGAATTCAGAAATTATCATTTAAATTTAATAATCGAGTCTCGACTGCCGCTACGTATTACGACAACCATAAAAGTATTCATACACTCGATTAACATTTTCAATAGTACATTAGAAAACAGCGTATCGCGAAATTACCAGAACGAACCCCAGAAGAAAAAGATGTGTTGTAATTTTGTCGCTTTCACATGCTCCACGCATGGTTCCATTGTTTGTAAATAAAAAAAATTGCCTTTACAACTTTTTTTTTTTCACCCCGTTCCAAGTTCTCGATATAAGTGTACAATTAATTATCGCCCAATCCTTGTCGCAAACTTGAGATCGAATTATGCAAATCACATTTCGCTTCGTATATAATCTCTCTCGAATGTTTGCACAACATTCGACACTTTTTCCTATCGGATTTTCTAATCCTTATTCGAAATGGCGAGTACTTCAACTACATTTTCGGAAGATGAGATGTAGCCGGAAGTCGAAGATCGGGCTTGAATAATAATTTCGAATGCATGCCACGTATAAACTTTCCATTATTCTTGTACGAAATGGCAGTTCGCGAAATTCGATGAATCGATAGCCCGGGAACAATGGAGATAGAACACTGTTCGAACGGTATTATCTCAGATTGAAACGGAAACGCGCGTTAACTTTCGCCGGCCATTACAACTTTAACAATGTGTGCTTCATTTGTCGTCATGCCTGTCGTTCGAATAACTTTTTCGCCCCCCTCCTTTTTTTTGTCACGTGTGCGATCAAATTTTTAAAAAAGAGAAAATTTGGAATTGGAAATTGTATATACGTTGATTTCGGTTTTATCCAACTTTTGTTAAATATATAATAAATGTAAATAAATTTTAATACGAAATCTAGATAAAATTAATAAGAATGATAGAAAGTAATAAGAATAAAATAGAAAGTAAGATTCACTCATAGGAAATTTTGTTGAATTTCACCTTTTTTTTAGGTGGAATCGTTGAGAAAATTTTTGAGAAAGATTTTTTCTTTTTTTTTGTATATCTTTGGAATATCATATGAAAAAAATATTTGTCTCACTTGAGAGAGTTTTTGTTGAGAAATAAAATATTGTAAATAGTGTACAGATTGATAGAAAATTGTTGCAAAAGATTATTTTATTAAAAAAGAAAGAAAAAAAAATAATTTATAAAATATCTTCAAATCGAAGTACTTAAGTCATCCTTATGGCGGAAAGTTTTGAGACGATCTTTTAAACATAAATTTTCGTGTCATATATACTGTTTGAGTATGTAAATTTTATTTTTCAAAAATTTTAAAAATATTTGCAACTGCATATATTGTATGAATGAATTATGCAAACAGTGAATTATTTATTCGAAGGAAGATTTGATTTTAATATATTTTTACTTACAAATTAGCAAGAAATGCAACTAACAAATAGCCTTTGGAAATTTCTCGGCACATCAACGCGTTGCTTTGTCATCAAAAATCACTTATCATCCAAAATCACTTATCACATCATCAAAATCAACGATACTTCATTTTCATTTATATCCTAATTTCGAACACACAATTTTGCACCATACATTATTTTTATTCAAATTTTCGATGAAGAAATAGATCATTTTTTTTATTTAGCAATTTTTATCAAGTACTTCTTCGCTGCTTTTTATTTTCTTCGTGGAAAATAATGCAGCAATAACGAATCATATGTATATATGTATAAAAAGAGAAATTAGCACTAGAAATTAACCTTAGTGACACTGACAGAAGATGGAACAGAACATGAATGAAGACAGTCGAAGAAACGTACACATATCTATCGATAACCCCTCTACTTACTTTTCTACTAAACGAAACACTTGAGTTCTTTCGTATTCTTTTACGGTAGTAATCGTACGTGAGTAAGAGTGGTGAGGCCAAAGTCTTGCCACCATTCACATTGCCAATTTAGAATGGTGATATTAATATCGTGGAACGATGTCAATAAGATGTTATCTATGAAGAAAATGTTTTTTATTTCTCAGATCTGAATCGATGTATCACGAGACTTTCTATTTTATAATATTCTTAATTTATCGTTAATTAAAGAAGACATTACTGATGATGTGAGAATCATATTCAGTTCACATTAGGGAACTAGATTCGAGTCGAATAGGTGATAAATAATTGATGTATTCTAATTTTTTTAGAATGAAAATTTTTGGTTTCACCTCTGTGTCCGTGATTTTATATTCATTTAAAAATTTTGTGAGAGATTCATTAAAATAAGTAATAATTGGTTTATAAAATTTTTTGTGAAAAGATTTTAATTATTTTATCTTTATTTATTAAGATAAGTACTATTTTTTATTAATTTTTATCAATTCAGGAAGAAGTAATAAACTACCATTAGCAATAGCAATATAAAAAAATAATAATCGATTCTTTAATAAATTTCAATGTAAAAAAAAAATATTTTAAAATTATTCGGAAATTATTAAATATATTAAAAATTGTCACTAGTTGCTTATTGAATGCAAAAAAAAAAAAAAAGAAAGAAAGTAAAAAAAAAGAAAAAGAAAAAAGGAATTAAGAAACACTTTTAAATTATTCAGAAATTTGCAAAACATTTCTCACGAAATGTTTTTCATTCTATCTATTTTGTATTCTTGAATAAATTTCAATTTTAAAAAAAACATGTATCACACTTCGCCTATCGTAATATGTATTATGAAATAAACAAATTATTGCAATTGATTATATTTGATTTAAGAATAAAAATTTACCACTATCTTACTTTCACGTATTAATGTTTAAGATATGGATTTTAAATTGCACGATTAAACATTTATATGTATAAAATGGACGTTTTCTATTTTTTATGCCAATATCACAACGTTTGTGATAATTAACTATGGTTTAAGAAATTGTTGTGAAGAAATCTATCTATCTATAGTTGCATAATTAAAAAAAAATCCATGCTAAGTAAAAAAGAAAGTAGATTAAAAATCAGATTTCTATTTTTATTGAATATTTAACACAAAATGAATTAAGATATGTGGTAAGCTAGATTAGGATAAGGATTGTAGTGAAAAAAATAAAAATACAAAAAGAAAGTTTAATTTTATTATATAAATTAAAATAAATATTTGATATTGCAACAAAAATGTGAGATCAATAATTATAATTAAAAATAATTAAAATAAATTAAAGAATTTAATTTTATTTATAATCGAATAAATTCCAATAATAATTAAAAATAATTATTACATTAGATTGTTAACTAGAATGGCACTTTTCATCACACTAGATTTTAATATTTATAATTGCAATTAAACAGCAAATTGATGGATATTGTAGAAAGAAAAATTTCTTTATTTTTATTTCGAATTTTCGTGCGTCATCAGGAATGGTCTTTCAGGAGTAGGACACAAGAATCTTTCAAATATCGGTGTCCAAGAGGTAGATTTGTTACCAACAGGTTCTAATAAACTGTTCCATAAATTATTCGCAACTTGAAACACAACAACAATTTCTTTTTTTGTTCGAATGCTAATAGAAAAGTTAGAATTGAATTATACGTATATAGTGTCAAATTTTTTAATCTGTAAATCAGAATTTCTCGTGAACTGTGTAAATAAATAATTTATGTAATTTTGTGTAATTTGTATAAATTAATTTTTTTATGGACATAAATAAATAAAGCTTACATGAAGATTATATACGTACATGTTTTTCTTTTTATTATTAGATAATATTCCTTTTGTTTAATATTCTTTATATTACTCCTATTATTTACATAAATTGCTAAACATTTTTTTTATTCACGAGCAATTCTCACTTATATAAATTAAAACTAGACACGTTATACGATTAAATCTGGGATACTCACTTCGTGCATTGCTTTTCTGGTTTAAGTGAAAGCAATCAGTGGATAAATATGATAAATCATAATATCCATCCTCAGTCAATGGAAGCATTGAATTTTTGAGAAATGGTAAAGCGACTACCGTGAAATCATTTCTATGAAATTCTGGATAATCGGCGATTTCTTGCTCTAATTCTTGCCATCTGAAACATATGATACAATGAATATTTGTATATTTTCATTTTAAAAGTAATATAAAAAATTATTAAAAAAAAAAGTGAATAAGAAGAAAAGATGCAAATTAATTAAATTCTCATTAGAATTGTCAAAGATGTCTGGGATATGTCATATGTTCCTGAAGCCATTATTAGCATCTCTCATTCAATAATTCAATTTCCAAATTGAAAAATAAATTATATATTTTTCTCTGCTATATCAAATTTTATTTATATATCAAGAAGTTAATGAAAATAAATAGCCTAAATGTTGAGAGAGATTGCATGTCGTCGATGCATTTTCAACGATTCTGTTTTAATTTAATGATGTCTCGTTGAAATAATTTTAATCTGACACGATTACTGCTGATAAAAACTGCTTAAAATCGATGATATTTCGTTGCTTTTATTTCACTTCATATGAATTTTATCCATTGGTTCGCCTCGTTTTTTATTAAAATTAATTAATGATTCACTTTCTTTGAAAATTAATTCAAGAACACAGAATTTCGGTCACGTTCATCCCTTTCATGTTTATCAAACATTATTTATGAAATCGAGACAAAAGAGTTTCAAGGCTTTTTTTCCAATAAAGGAGAACAAATTGTCCCCTAGTTATCCTTCGAAAAACCTGATTTAAAAAATATGATTGAAAAATTGCTATATTAGTTTTTTCATAAAGCTTCTCCAAGGCCCCGAATAATTTTCTAGAACGTATCGACCCGTTGTTACGATGCAATAGTTTTTTTTTTGCAATTGTTTTTTTTTTACAATTGAGAGAGAGAAAGAGAGAGAGAAAGAGAGAGAAACATTGGTTCTTGGAAATATTTTTAACACTAACATTAAGAATAAACAGATATTTAAATATTTACCAATAGGATTGATCAATAAGTTAGTGCAATTTTATTCGATTCGTTCGTATAATAATGCCAAGAGCTTCAATAATTTCGAAAATATTCATAATTTAAATCATACCTTGTTATTATTTTATAATATTCCTGCCTCCGATCTTGAAATTGCAAAGCAAACAGGCACGAGCATTCGATCATCGTCGTTACGTAGCATTTCAACGAGTTCCTTCCCTTGCGTGAAGCGACGAGTTCTTTTAAATGAGGCGGCAATTGAATGGCAATAAACGTCCTTGGCAAATTGTCTCTTAATATTCGAAGAGTTTCGACTAATTGGATTCTATGATTTTCCACAATGGACCATGGAGAGGGAACTGCACATATTTCGGAACAAAAATCATTATGCCCGATAAATATCGAAATCAACTGCAAAACAGAACGAAACGAATTGCGTAAATAATTACCAGAATTAATTTATATTCAATAATATTTGAAAAATAGTTCTTTTTTCATTCGTGCTTATGATTTGATTAATATTTTCAGATGAATAAAATGTTGTCGAATAAACTTTAATTTGCATTTAATTAGTAAGTGGGAAATGTATGAAAAAGAATAATAAAAAAGACATCTGTGAAATATGATAGAATTGAAAAGAGGATGATTTATGATTTAAAAATGAATCGAAAATATAAAATAAAATTTTTTGTATTACTTTTGGAAAAAATAAAATTTAAAAATTTTATATCGATATACTTGGATACAATTTCCTTTGTTTATATTTGTAGCCATTATTAGTGCATTTATAATCTTAAGATCGTTAATGTATATATAATATACATATAATATACATATACATTATAGTTTGTTTATAATATTATAAACAAACTATATATATATATATATATATTTTTTTTTTTTTATATATAT